AGAAGACCTTGCCCTGAAGATTGCAAGCATGTACTAGGCAAGAGGGTAAAGAAGTGGTATCTGCGAGGATATTCAGGACAGACCAGTTCAGCAATGAATGGAAGGACAGCCTACAACATGCACAGCAGGAAGATTCGGACATTAAGCCGATTCTGGAATGGATGAAGGCCAGTGCTCCTAAGCCCAAGTGGAGCGACGTCTCAGCAATGAGTTCGACCACGAAAAGCTATTGGGCCCAATGTGACAGCTTGCTGATTCAGGATGGAGTCCTGTGCCGTAAATGGGAAAATAGTCGGGGAGACAGGTGTCATTTGCAAATGGTTGTCCCTAAGGCTAAAGTACCGGAGGCTATACCATAGTGGTTGTTCAGGAGGCCACCTGGGAGTTAAACGAACTCTACTGAAGATCCGAGAACGGTTTTACTGGGTCCACTGTCGTGACGATGTCGAGGACTGGTGCCGCAAATGTACAAGTTGTGCGGCTGTAAAGGGACCTCAAATTCGTAGTAGAGGCGCATTGAAATTGTACAATGTTGGCGCACCATGGGAGAGGATAGCCATTGACGTTGCAGGGCCGTTTCCGGAAAGTGAAAGTGGTAACAAGTATTTCATGGTTGTGATGGATTACTTTACTAAGTGGCCAGAAGTCTTCGCCATTCCAAATCAAGAAGCTTCAACAGTTGCAGATAAACTAGTCCATGAAGTCTTCTGTCGTTTTGGAGTACCTTTAGAGATTCACAGCGATCAAGGAAGGAATTTTGAGTCTCAAATATTCCAGGAAACTTGCCGAGTTATGGGTACTCAGAAAACACGAACAACTTCTTACCACCCACAATCTGATGGAATGGTAGAAAGATTTAATCAGACATTGGAGAGGTACCTAGCAAAAGTTGTGGAAAAACGGCAACGAGACTGGGACAGGCATATACAACCGTTTTTGTTGTCATATCGAAGCGCTGTTCACGAAAGTACATCAGTGACACCAGCTTTCGCAAACTTTGGGAGAGAATTGCGGCTGCCTGCAGACTTGATCACCGGAATACCACCTGATGCCCCACGCAGTATAACCGATTATGCAAATGACTTACGGAACAAAATGAATGACATTTATGAGCACGTCAGACAGACGGGCCAGCAAACGTCTGAGAAGATGAAAACACGGTATGACCGCAAAATGAACAACAAGGGGTTTGATGAAGGTTCACTAGTGTGGTTACACAATCCAGTTCGCAGCAAAGGGAAATCTCCTAAGCTTCAAGCTAAATGGGACGGACCGTACCGGATTGTGACAAGGATCAATGATGTAACCTACCGCATACAGAAAGGTGCCAGAGGTACTCCTAAGATTGTCCATGTGGATCGACTGGCGCGTTATATTACAACATCATGTAAATGCATCAGATATCACCTGATAAATACTAGAAGTTCAAAGACCCATGGCCCGTGAAGGCCAAGAGACCTATATTGTATTATAGTGCAACGTTGCCAATTTTAAATAATCAAATAAAGTAATCTTATGCGCGATGCGACAAGAATTGGGACGGGGTGTTGGGAGGGTGGGATGTGGTCGATTGGCGCGTGCGACGATAAAGTAAGACAGTAAGTCACTTAGTCCGACGCCGGCGTCCTTGGGAACGGTTCATTAATCGCTTGACCTAATTTTAGTTTTTCGCGTACACGTCCTTTTAATTTAAAGTTTTTTTTTGTGGATATTTTCATAAGTTTCTTGATTTGTTTGTGATAGGACACGTTAATACTATAATAATAATTGTGTTGAGGAGGTGGTGTGACTATTTGTGCGAAATTTGACGCTTTCTTTTACTGTCTTGTATTTTTTATTTGTGATAGGACTCGTTAATAATAGATAAGTGATATTTAATAACTTAGTGGTGTGTCAGCCCGTGCGCAATTGGACGCTTTTATTTTTTTAAACGTATAACTTTTTTTATTTTAAAATGCCTCGTATCAATTTTACGTCATTGGAATACACCGATATGGTTTTAATTTATGGAGAATGCCACCAAAACGCGTCCCTGGCATTACGAACATACCGAGAGAGGTATAATACCACACGTGTATGTCCTACAGACTCACGGATTTTTATACGGGCAGTCCAAAGATTACGTGACGGCGAAAATTTGATTCCACGTCAGGTTGAAATTCCTCCGCGAGTCGCCGTGGCTCAGGAAGAACGAATATTAAATTATTTCGCTCGTAATCCAACATCAAGTCTCCGTAGAGCAGCTCGCCAATTCTGTGTACACCACAAGTCTGTTCACAGAATATTAAAAAAAAACAAGCAACGGCCGTTCAAATACGTAAAGGTACAGGCTTTATTAGATAGAGATAAGCCAGTTAGGGAAGCCTACTGTGAATGGCTCCTGAGCAAAGTAGCTAATGACTCTTAACTTTTTAGCAAACGTAATGTGGACTGACGAGAGCACATTCACGCGTAACGGAATATGGAATCGGCAGAACTTACGATACTGGAGTCAAGAAAATCCGGAACTGTGTCGAGAGTCTATGCACCAATATAGATTTGCCGTTAATGTTTGGGCTGGAATACACGGAGATCAAATAATTGGTCCCGTGTTTATCGAAGGCAACCTTAATGGGCCTAAATTTTTGGAACTGCTTGACGACACAGTGGCGGATTACGTTGATGGACTATCGTTGGGGGCCAATAGCCGGTTATGGTACCAGCTTGATGGAGCACCTGCTCATTCAGTGGTGGCTGCCAGGCAGCGCCTCACTGAGATGTTCGGAGAGAACTGGATTGGCAGATACGGACCTTCTCGGTGGCCAGCACGGTCTCCGGATCTAACACCGTTAGATTTCTTTTTATGGGGTTACATAAAAAATGAGGTGTACTCTACTGAAGTAACGACTGTCAAGGACTTAAAAATAAGAATAATGCGGGCTTTCGACAAAATAAAAAATTTTGCAGCCAATGGTGCCCTCTTTCGAAAAGTCCGAAATAATATCATGCGACGATGTCAATTATGCATTCGGGTACACGGCGGACATTTTGAAAATTTAAAAATTTGATTTGTTTCATAAACTTGAGTGATTTCAAGGTTAAAGTGATTATTTGGATAAAAAAATACCATGAAATTTGTGATTTGTTGATAACATCGGATTAGCATCGCCCTACGCGTGCCTAATTACCTATGTATGGGCAAGTCCTAGGACCTAGGTATTATAATATAATTACCTATATCGATGTCGCATGAGCAATGAACCGCTGGCCGCGACGTTGCCGCTTCTACAAGTCATTTCAGGTCAGTTAAGTAATATTATCAAGGATGATTTATTTTATGTGATTTTTTACCCTATTTATTTTGTTTGAAAGATGCATTTTTTATTAGTTTTTATTATTGTTTATTTTATTATTTTAACAGACATATATCAACTTGTATTAACTGTTGTGCTATTTAACGTGATAACCTGGGCGCCACCCAGTATAAGGCCGGTATAGACCACGACCGGGGCAGTATTGAATTGGCGATACAAGAGATTACTTCTAAGCGAAATAACGGCGAACTGTGTTTTATTATTAGTGTAATTTTAGATTGTAATTAGTGTTGTATAATTAAAGTGTCAATTTTGGTAATTCAATCGGCAGTTTTTAATTGTCTCGAATCCCAAGCTCGTAACAGTATATTTATTTAGAACTTTAAAGATTTAATTCTAGAGGGACTGTTAAAAATATACTGTTATTAGGGCAGTAGTAGTAGTATTGGTTGTCTTTTTTATGGATTAAGGGTGACACACTAGCACATAGTCCACCTGATGGTATGTGAATGCTGTAACCCCAGAGATCTACATATATATCCTTGATTAAGAATCAAAATATAGATGCATTGTCATATCTAAGGACTAAGATAGAATGCCTCATTACCTTTAAAAAGAGTCTGCTTCTCTACACTCTATATACAAAACACAGCAGTTAAGTTGCTTTTAAAACATTATATATTTTATTCATTCTGTACATTTAAATTCTTATTGCATACATCTGTTGTGGAAAGTATCTTCTTTATTAACTCATAGAAGTCACAGAAAGCTGGACATGGGCCTCTCCTGTAATCCTGTCTATTTTCTACCAACTTCAAAAAGCAGGAGGTATTCAGTTCGACTAAGTTTTTATTTTATTCGTTTTTTTATGTGCGTTACCTCATAACTTTTTTCTGAGTGAACCGATTTTGATGATTCCTTTTTTTATTTGTAATCTGGTACTTCTCGTATGGTCTCATATAAATTTGATCAAGATCTGACCAATAGTTTTTGAGTTATTTACAATTTATATTGAAGTTGGCTGTACAAAATTTTAAATTATCTATATGCTTTATGATTGACAGGCTAATTGGTGGTCTAAATATTTTACACCTCATGTTAATGGTTATGGATGTTATGCTACCATAATTTGAATGTCATGCGTGCATAATAGCCTCTTAATAACACCAACTGGATGGAATGCGGTGATGGATTTTCTAACGTTTCCACCACATAACAACAGAATCATTAGTTGTATCTGTAAATTCAATAATTAGTGGTAACTAGCAGTACCACTAATTTGTTTAGAGCTAAATATTGTTGGAAAGCTTTTCTGAAGCTTTCAGACTCACTATACAGATCAGCCAGCATTGGTGGTAATTACTAAAATTTATCATACTTTCCTAAAGTGCTACACTGTTACTTTTAAAAAAGGATCCTAAAAAAACCTAGCTTGAAGCATGAGAGTAAATTTCTGGGCTATCCTACTTTTAGTTTTGCCTAAGATTTCAGAGTGGACGGCAACGCTATTGCAGTATTAACCAAAGCATCCATTGTGCGACATTCTCAATGGTTATTACTGCAACAAAATTTAGCCAGTATTGAAGAATTATTGATCAAAGACTGCCTTTTATTCATGCAGTGCTATTGCCCATCTGGATAGACAAGTATCCAGACTCTTAAATAATCTGTAAATATATCTATTATAACTGTCTTAAAACATTTCAGTGCCATCAGTTAATAGAGTGAACATCCCATTTGAAAAACGAATTGAGTTATCAACAAATTCAATAGCAAAGCAACTGTTCAATATAATGGCTACAAAGAAAACCAATCTCTGCCTTTCTGTAGATTTGACGTCTTCCACAAAAATAATTGATCTCTTAGAAAAAGTTGGGGAGCATATATGTCTTGTTAAAACACACATTGATATAATTGAAGACTTTAGTGATAACTTCATTATGCAACTAAAACAGTTGGGAACAAAGTTTAATTTTCTTATACTGGAAGATAGAAAGTTTGCTGACATTGGAAACACTGTGTCACTGCAGTATTCAAAGGGTATATACAAAATTAGTGAATGGGCTGACTGTGTGACTGCACATTCATTGTCTGGCGAAGGAATCTTAAAAGCTTTAAACACTTGCACAAACACTGGTAGTAAAGGAGTTTTCTTCTTAGCTGAAATGAGCAGTGAGGTCAGTATTTGTTCTTGTTTCATGATTAATTGCTTGAGAACTATGTTTCTAATATAATCTAAATACTAAGAGTTATTTTGTGTAGAGTGACCCAAAATTAATAATAAAAATGGTGTACAACAATTATGTAGTGAGGGAGTAAGAATACCCGCTACCCATATTGTCAGAAGGAAACAAATTGGGAGGAGATGGGTAGCAACCTCTTCCTAATAACAACTAAAAATAAAAAATTTGCTTGATAACCTGCCTGCCAAAAGTAGTACTGGTATCTATGGCAAATGCCCCCTATAAGGCAATCTATGAGGAGGTCTATGTTCAGCTGTGGACTTTTGATAGGCTGTAATAAATGGATAATGAATGTACGACAATGATGATGATGAATAATGTCCTGTATATGCTTATCAAAGAAATTTTCTTGTCAGCCTACTAAATGTCAACTCACTTCTTCTTTCCCTCCCGGTTTAATATTTTAACATTCATCAAGCAGAGATCTTTTTCGTATGCAGTTTATTGGTGAGGATTTGTTAAAAGCTGCCATGGGAAATCCCTGTTAACTTCAGTAAATATCTGATCCTACAAACAGCATAATAGTGAAAAGGGGACCAAGTTCTATACAAATGATATTTGTAGTTGTCAGGTTTACATTAAAAGAGTTGGGATCTGAAGTTGCTTGAAGAATTATATTAATGTACACCCACATAATAAATAATAGTACTATGGTACACCATTATTGGAACTGCTATGGAACTTGGCGCCATTTCAGATCTGAACTCTTTTATTATTGAAGCTGACAACCCTGAATGTTGTTTATACCTACCAAACTAGGGCTCCTTTTACCATTTATATTGTAACATGGCAATTGGAATAAGAAACGAAAATAGGAAAGTTTAGATAGTTCTCATGGCTTCCAGTAGATGACAGTGTTAATAATATCATCATCTTGCATTTGAGACAGTTTTATATAATAATAAAGTTATTTAGGTATTAAATTAATAAAATATCATAATAATTTAATCATGTCATTTATGTATCAAATACAGGGTAATCTAATTACACACGAATATACAGAAGCTACTGTCAGGATGGCTGCAAAATATCCAGACTTAATTACTGGATTTGTTTGCCAGAAGAAAGAAACCTTTAGCAACCCTGGCTTAATACAGCTCACTCCTGGAGTTCAACTAGACAGTTTGAAAGATGATTTTGGTCAAGTATATAATACACCAGAGAAAGTAGTTCTAGAGAATGGAGCTGATGTGGTAGTGGTAGGACGTGGCATAGTTGCGTCAAAGAATCCAGAAGCGCAAGCGGCCATTTATAAAGATACTCTATGGAAATGTTATATGAAGAGAGTTTCAGGAAAATTAGAATGAACATTTTTTTTAATTCAACATGTTTCACTTACCCTCTTTTATGTACGTTTTTGTCTCTATTTAGCAATTAAACTTAAGCTAACTTCTTGAAACTTGAAGCTCGGAACTGGATGACATTATATACAATATACAATATATATATATATATGTCACTTTGTTGTCTATGTCTTTGTTTGTTTGTGTCTGTCCGGTACAAATTTTGCAATTTTATATAAACGTAGTGATGAGGTTAGAGACTTAAAACTTTAAATAAAATCAGAACTGAACAGAACTATTTTTACTTTATTTAAAAAAAAATTGTATATTAAAAAAAGTTCTTTAAATAATTATTTTTATGATAAAAATATTCATTCCATTGTTTTACAATAGAAATAATTTTTGAAATTCGTTGTTTAGGTTTGCCACGAGTTGTTTATATTATATGATGTTAAATAATTTCAATAATTAGTTTATTATAAGTACTGTTATTATTATAAGTATGTAGCGAAATGTGAGAGACATCTGTTACTATGTACTTTTCAAAAATGAGACGAGGCTTGTGCTGAGTTGTAGACTTATATAGGCTGTATTTTTACTGTTATTGGTCTTGTATTTTTGAAGGAAAACCTATTTTATAACTTTTTTAATATTCAATAACAATAAGATGAATAACAGTATCAGTAACATTAAGTTGAATAACATTACATTCCATTTAAAGTTGTGAATGCTTTGTGAACTTCCTACAAGATAAAAGTGACAATAATAATAATACGAAAAGATTACAGTAGATAGAAAATGATATTCTTATATAGTTCGATGAGTGATTGTTTTACTGTTCTCTGTAAAACTGACACAAAAATATTTTGTAATTGTATGTAATGCATGAATACAGATTCTAATATTTATAAGATAATGAACTAACAAAACTATATTTTATATGCTGTAATGGCCATTGCGATTCTAATAAGAATAGGAACGTCAATGACTTCGAATGGTCGCGATCTGTCTATTGTCACTTGAAATGTACGGCTTGCAAAGAAAATAAATTTTTCATTTTTATATTTATTTAACTGAGTCTTGAGCTTCGACCACACACAGCGAATATTCGCGCTGCAAATGTTACTCGCAGTGACAATTCGCTGCCTGCCTGTCACACACAGGGAGTACTACGCGAGAATTCTCTATAATATGTCTATAGAGAATTCCCTCTCTGAAACTCTATTCTTTTATATTCTTAAAATTTCTTTTCAATTGCTATTGGGTTGCTATTTCAAATCCCAACTCAATTAATTCATTAAACATTGAAGGGGTCTTATTTGCGTTTTTTTAAATTACTGTTATTTGTGTCAAATAGCTCCCCATTTTTTCTATACACACCCAAGAAACGAATTATATGGTATTTTCAAATTTTAGAGAATCGTTTCTCGGTCTTTCTAAATCTTTTAAAGGAATGATTAGTTTTAAAAATAATTTAAAACTGGCTTTTTATATTTTCATTGTTGGCAACAGATCGGCAAAAAGTAAATTAAATAAATAAGTGAATTAATTATTGACGTTCTAAATTCCGATTGAAACTTTCTTTTATGGCTCTTGTATTTATTTGTAAATAAATATTATTTCTAACGTATCTGTTTTGCTCACCCTACACTTACTGGTTTAAATTGACAGTTATAACGCGAGGTAAGTCCTGTTCTTATTTGAATCGCACTAGTATATAAGTGTCTTATGAATTTCATACAACATACAAGTGACGATTGTAATTTAAGTAATAGATTAGATAGAATAGGTGAAAGTAATATTTTTATAAATGTTTTTGTATTGGGTAATTTACTGATCTATTTGAAATTGTCTCAAAAACACTACAATTGTTTGTAATATTGTTGTGAAGAATTTTTACAAAATAATTACTACTTTGAGTATTTGTTATCAGAACTTATATTTTATTTGATATAATTATGGTCATAATTTTTGAGCTAAAAACATCCAAAAAGTTGAACGAAATGTTATGAATGACAATGTGTTAGACTTTTTTTTATAAAACTGAAGTGACAGAGGAACTTACAGCTCATTTGATGGTAAGTGGTTACTGCAGTTCATAGATATCAGCATCAAATTTCAAACAAAGAAGGAAGACATAGATGTGTTGTCACCTCTAAGAACTAAGATGGAATGCCGACTTACAGTCTGAATTTTACTACCTCTACATACTACCTTTCACATCGGAACACAGCAGTACAAATGCCACAGAGTATTTTTTATATAGAAAAACAAATACTGCTATTTGAAGGTAAAACTTCGTAAGTGGGTTATACCTACGCAGACCGACTCCTAGGCAGAAAATTAGTCCTACTACCTAATATAAAAGTGAAGACAGAAAATAGTATTTTTATTTATTTTTGTGTTGGTCATTTATATTGTCTATAATGTATTCAATGTGGGTTCTTCAAAATTCTGCTCGCGACAAATACTGCTCGGGGCAAGCGGAGCAAAAGATCAAGGCGACCCCTGTCACGCTATCCGTGAATTTTTGCAACATCAGGAGACTTCATTCCAACCTTAACGCTTACCATTACCATCTAGAGACGGCGAAGCCGGCCTTGCTCTTATTAACCGAGAAATAGGTGTCCTCTCCGGCTGATATTTCATTTCTCTCCTACCCGGGGTACAAATTAGAACACTCCTTTGTGGCCCGGGCTGGAGTTTACGTATACCTCAGAGAGGACATCTGTTTCGACGCCTCGGCAGTCTTGATGGTACGAACCTGTCCGTCCTAAGGCTGCGCGTAGACAGCCACGACCATCCCCGCGTCTACGGGTGCTTCTATAGTGCCCATAGCGGTAATGCCGAAACAAACCGACTCATAAACCACGTCCAAATGGCTACAGATTCCTTGCTACAGCAGATCCCATCCGCAGAGATCGTCATCCTTGGCGATTTCAACAACCACCACGCCAAATGGCTCTGTTCACGTTCAACCGGGGGACGTTCACGTTCAAATGCGGGGAGATCTGTTTATAACTGCTTTGGCATATGGTCTGGCAGCTGCTTACTTCGCCTACGCGGATTCCAGACGTGGGGGATCATGCACCTTCCCTGTTGGACCTTCTGCTGACCTCTCATCCGGACGGATATCAGGTTTTCGTCGACGCTCCTTTAGGCTCGTCGGAACATTGTCTTGTCCGGAGTCTGGTGCCACACACTAACGTCGCGGTTGCATTCTGCAGGCTAACGCCGTGTTTGGCACTATAGGTCGGCCGATTGGGATAGAATGCGGTCTTCTTTTGCATCCTACCCTTGGGGGCGGGTATGCTTCTCGCCGGAAGATCCCAGCATTGTTGCCGATTCTGTTGCTGATGTAGTACTTCAGGGTATGGAACTTTTTATTCCATCCTCTTGGTGCCCATCGGAGGCAGATCCCAGCCATGGTTTGGTCGCTCTTGTAAAATAGCATTATGCTATAAGCAGGAGTGCTACCGGGCCTAGGCTGATGAATCAACGTCTCGGGATGTAAACACCAGCGCTTTTAAAAAGAAGTATAATTCCGCCTCCAGATCCTTCAAAAGCGTCATTGCCAAGGCACGATCTGAGCACATCGGCAGAATTGGCGAGAAGCTGGTTCGCCTTCCTTCGGGAAGCCGTGCATTCTGGTCTCTCGCCAAGGCTGTCCAATGGAACTTCTGTCAGCCATCTCTTCCATCTCTGCACAGAGAGGACGACTCACTGAGCCGATCTGTTAAGCTCTTTCTTTGCGCCCAACTCGACTCTAGATGACGGGGGGAACGGGAATATATCGTCGACCATACCGCGGTGTGAATGCTCCATGTCGGATGTGCGGTTTACACAGCGCTCGGTTCGCAAAGCACTCTTCTCCCTAGATGTCAGCAAGTCGAGTGGGCCTGATGGAGTCCCTCCCATTGTGTTGAAGACGTGTGCTCCTAAGTTGGCACCGGTTTTAACGCGTCTTTTCCAGTACTCCTATTCCCAAAGCGTAGTCCCGAATTCATGGAGGATAGCTTTGGTCCACCCGATCCCTAAAAAAAGCGACTGCTCAGACCCGTCCAACTACAGGCTTATCGCCATCACCTCCTTGTTCTCCAAAATAATGGAATCCATTATAAACTGCCAAGTCCTGAGGTACCTTGAGGATCAGCAACTGATTAGTGACCGCCAGTACGGTTTTCGTCGGGGTCGATCAGCTGGTGATTTGGTCTACCTGACTCATAGATGGGCGGAGGCAGTAGAGTCCAACGGGGAGGCATTGGCCGTTAGTTTGGACATAGCGAAGGCCTTCGATCGGGTCTGCCACAAACCGCTTCTATCGAAGCTTCCTTCCTATGGGTTTCCCGAGAAATTGTGCAAATGGATCACTAGTTTCCTTGCTGATCAACGCATTAAGGTCGTAGTAGACGGTGAATGCTCTGATTTCAAGCCTATCAACGCTGGTGTTCCAAAAGGCTGCGTGCTATCACCAACGCTGTTACTCCTGCATATCAATAATATGTTGCAAACTGGTAACATTCATTGCTATGCAGACGACAGCACTAGTGATGCCTTATATACCGGCCGTGCCAATATTTCTCGGGAAAATGTCGCCGAGTACCGGGACAAACTTGTGTCTGAAGTCAAGTCTTTGCTGAACAAAGTCTCGGATTGGGGGCGACTAAATCTAGTCCAGTTCAATCCCCAGAAGACACAAGTTTGCGCGTTTACCGCTAAAAAGCACCCCTTTGTCGTATCTCCTCAGTTTCAAGGCACTCCCCTTGCTGTCTCAGCTAGCATCGGTATCCTCGGCGGCGATATATTGAATAGTGTGCAGTTTCGTGGTCACTTGGAAGGTAAGCCAAATTGGCCTCTAAAAAGCTTGGCATGTTCAGCAGAGCGAGACAGTATTTCATGCCGGCACATATATCACTTGCAACTTACAAAGCGCAAGTTCGATCTCACATGGAATAACTGTTCTCATCTCTGGGCCGGGGCACTCCAGTGCCAGCTCCTTCCACTTGACCGCATCCAGCGCAGAG